GCTTTGTTCTGGCTTTCTTGCGCTGAGTGCCCACCTCTGTGGCTTCACACCTCACTGGGCACAGACTATCCTCACCCTGGCACACAGCAGAGCGGTTTGAAATGGTCTGCTTGTGCAGTGAAACGCGGCGCTTGTTGCAATGGGAACACCAACAACTGCACTGCCCATCCTGCCAGCCCCAGTCTCCTTAGCTGTACCATGGGCAGCCTGACTGCCATGTAGACATCATAGCCCACATTTTGGGGGCTTACTGTTTCTCCTCCTCCTGAGTGCTGGCTCCCCCTGATAATCAGTAAACAGAAGCTCCTTCTGGGGTCTTACCTGTAAGTATAGTTCTACAAATTTTTTTTCTTTTTCTTATCTGGAATACATTAATTTGTGATTTGTAATAATCAAAAGGTTATTAAAGATCACCGAAAGTAAGATCTCTATTTTAGGGTTTGAATGAGAATTCCAGCTACTCACAAGACCAAGTGCCTGAGACGTGAGCACACTTTTGAGCTCCTGGCACATGGGCAGCACCCACTGCTAGGATGAGGCCACGGCTGTGGCCTTGAGTGGGCTATGTTCTCAATCATGGCTCTCTGGCTAGTATGAGGTAAGCACTTGCAGCTCTGTTCCATGGTCAGTGGTTACCTGGTGAGAATCAGTGACACACGTGCACGCGAGTGGTGATAGGGGCCTGGGGCTTTCCAGTAACAAGGCTTTAAGCTCCACGTGCCCCCAGTGCTAAAGCAGACACACACATGAACTGTCCCAAATCAGCTGGTTCAGGAGCACCCTGTGGGAGAGGGGCCACCTATCATGAATTTGGGCCATTCAAAAAGCTTGCCACATCTTGGCAGGTACACAAAACAACAGCCCTGGGAGATTTTAGATTTACAGAGCATTGTTTCAGGAGATAAGATCATGGGCACATGTGTACCCTTTTCTGTCCTGGAGTAAATGCCCAGTGACTCAGAGCTGTCATTAGGAACAAGTCTGTCTATTCAGCTTCTCACATGATTCTTCTCTAGTTGGGAGTCATTGAGGTGTTCTTTTCTCCCTGCAAAGTGGGAACAGGAGGGGCTGTGGAAGCTGTTGTCCCACCCCCTATCCAGCCTGCCTCTGTGAGTGAGTGCTGACGCCTGGCACACTGAGGCAGAGGGGAGGGTGGCCGCAATGGGACAGATGACTTGCCAAGATGAGCTTTGGGAGTGCAGCCTCCCAGGCACAGTGCTTCTCCAAGCACCACACAGGCCTCCCAGCTCCAAACTCTTTGAAGACATGACCGCTCTCTAGGGGCATGAACAGAGCTGATGGAGAGGGGCGGGGTGACACAGACCGACCGTGGGCAAAGCCCTCAGGCTCTCCGCTACCCGGCTCCCACCTGTGAGATGGAGATAACAAGACCCACTCCACCCTGCGACCCTTGGGATTTACAAGTGATGCTATGACATGGACAGGAACCTCCTCCATGTCCAGCTCCTTCCTCCAACTATTCTCTCTCCACCAGCACAACTCCCCAGTAGGCTCCTACTGGCATCTTGCCAGGCCTTCTATCCTCCCAGGAAGTACAATTCTGCAAATGGCAAGGTCTTTGAAGGAAGATGTTTCATAAATATGGGGCTTTCCAATCTTGAGATCCCCCAGGACTCTCTGGGAAGGCTCCTTGGGTATCAGGAAGGATGGGGCCATTCCCCAGCCCTCTGATTTCCCATAGTACATTCTGGGAGTCAACAGCCCTAGCGTCAGGACCCTTGTCTCTGAGGCAAGAGTCTGTGGCTCCTTAAAACATACTGTTTGCATATTATGGTTCGGTTTCACCTCGTGAACCTGAGGGCCAAGTGTCCTTTCTAAAATTCAAACAGGAGTTATGAGTCGCTAGGGGTCAAACCAGGCCAAAGGCATGCTTTGCTTAGTACAGACAGTTGTAGTTTTTAATCAGGAGATATTACATAAAAATAAAATTAGATAAAATGAGACCCCAGGCCTACATTCCCATGTAGTGAAGAGTTGGCAGGACCCACACAGCAGCTCTCCAGGTCACCACAGTCCCCACCACTCCCTATCACTTGCCACCTGGCCTCTTCAACACCTGCTTGGCCTTGCTGGCATCTGACCTTGCAACCCAAGGTGAGAGGCTGATGGAAGGAAACTCAGGGGACTCTTCATTCTGCCTTTCCCAGCCTGGATGCCCTGTAGAGCCCGCAGTGAGGCCCATGAGGTGCACTTAAACCCAGCCCTCTCCACGAACCGTAGGCCAGGAGCCTTACCTTGCCTGGCACCAAAACCCGGGCTTCCCCACCCTGCATGTCCAGGCTACAGCTAGCAATGCACTCTCTCTCCCTTCACCTGGCACTGGATGGCTCAGGCTTCCTGAAGATTCTTTCACAATTAAGGCACTTCAAAAAGGTTAAAAGGGAGGAATCAGCAGGGAGTGGGGGTGGGAGGGATGGAAGGTGGTGGGTGGGATGGAGGAATCTGACCAGTGATATTTAATAAAAAGCTTAAGAGTCACAAACAGGAAGCAGGCAGACTAAAACAGGAAGCAGGCAGACTAAGACTGACCCGATGAAGGAATGTGAACTACAGTGGACTGAGGCAGTGTCCCTACACCCCTCCTCCCTCCATTCCCACCCCAGCACCCCGAGAGGCTCCCTCCACTCCCACCCCAGCACCCCGAGAGGCTCCCTCCACTCCCACCCCAGCACCCCGAGAGGCTCCCTCCATTCCCACCCCAGCACCCCAAGAGGTTCCCTTCACTCCCACCCCAGCACCCCAAACAAGACGACTCTTGGTTCTTGCCTGCCCTGGGAATACCCCAGCTCTTACTTTGCCTTGGGCTACAGGAAGAGAGCTCAGGGGAGGTCAGCATGATCCTAGCAGTCCCCAGAGGAGGAGACCATGAGCTCTTCCCTCCGCCTGGTCCAGCAGGACCTCAGAGCTGTTTAGGGGAAGGATGAGTGCTCTGCAGTATGGCCCCCGACCCAGCTGAAGGAATCCCAGGATCCCTCCCTCCCAGAAAGCTCACAATAGCCGGGGCAGACACGAGGCCTTCGGGGACTGAGGTCTGGATGCTGGCCTGTCTGGCTCATGCCCCCTGCATGCGCCCTGGAGTCCAGAGAGGGGCCCTGTGGGCTCCAGTTTCTGAGGACAACCCACAACCAAACTGAAGGGATGCACAAAGACTCCTGTTTGGCTGAGGTGAGAACGCACAGCCACTGTGGAGCAGTGGGGAGGACAGGACAGAATTTTAGAGCTTCACCGTTGGAGGCCTCCCATGGCTGGGTACCTCTGCCTCCCCTGCCTCAGCCCTACCTTGACAGAGGCCTTAGGGGCTGCAAACAGGGAGTAAAGTGCCCTGGAGAAGCACAGCCTCTGTGACCACTGTCCTCGCTCATGAGAAGGCAGATGCTATCTTTGGGCAGTGGAAGGATTTTGGAAGGAAAGGGTTCCCTGGCAAGGCTGTCAGGAGAGGGAAGGGTGATCATGCCACCTGTGAGCACCGAGGCAGCTCGGGTCTCTGTTTTCCAGCGGGAGCCACGGCACTACCTTCTCTCTAGGAGATCTGACACAAAATGCCATAAACCAACCTTGGTTGCTCCCCTGATCCAAACCTCCCCATGGCTTTCCATCCTCACGGGATCAACCTTGAGCCCTGGAGTTATGTAGAGGACAGTAACATGTCAATATAAAATCAGGAGTGGGTAAAGGTGTTCCCTGTAAAATTCTTCAACTTTGCTGTATGTTTGAAAATTTTCGTAATTTTTACTGTATTATGAAATACAACAGAATTGTACTGGGTTAGTTGTATCTGGTACAATTGTATAGGGGATAAAGGATAGTGGGGAGCTGGGGGTGGTGGCACACAACTGAGTCCCAGCTATTCAGGAGGCTGAAGCAGGAGGATGGTTTGAGACTGGGAGGTCAAGGCTTTAGTGAGCCTTGATTGCATCACTGCACTCTATTCCAGAGACAGAGTGAGACTGTCTCTAAAAAAAGGTAGTGGCTCATGGCGCATTCGTAGGAACACAGGCTTCAGTCCTTCCCATGGCTCCTGGTGCACAGTATGAGCCCTGGCCTGTGTCCTGCACACCTCTCTGCTCAGTGCACTTCTGCCAAACAACTGACCTGCAAATGCACTTGGAGCTCACTGTCACCCCAGGGCCTCTGCCTTCACTTTCCCCTTGCTGTGGCATGCTCTCCCTGACTACCCATGTGGCTCCTTTCCTCCCTCTGTCCTTCCCTGATCACCCTATCCAAAGCAGCATGCTCAGCAATTCCATCCCATCCCTGCTTTATCTTTCTATGCGGTGCCTACTGCCATCTGACAGGGATTTCTTTAGTATGTTTATTGTTTGTACCTTCCTACAACTGTAAGCTCCATATCCCCAGCACCAAGCACAATGCCTGTGACACAGAAGAACACGATGCATTGTAGGCTGAATAAATGCACAAGTGATTGAAGGATGAGTTCACTGACAAAATCCAAGGGCTCTCCAGCAGCAAACACACACCCTCTGACCCAGTCCATGGACAGGCCCCAGCACAAACTCAGTGGGCAGTGCTGAGTCTGGGGGTCTGTGCTGGGCAAAGGAGGGTGACAATTCACATCCCTGGAAACCCTACCGGGTGCCAGGATGGTATGCCAGGCTCCCAGCGGTCTCCCTCAACTGCTCTCCTCCAAACTGCCTGTAAGCTCAATCTTATTCCTGCCTCCACAGAGAAACCAAGGAGCAGGCCCAAGGCCCCCTCAGATGGTAAATGGTGCAGTGGGAACTCAGACTCCAATCTTGACCCTGCTCAGACCAGATCTTCACTCCACATCCAGGCTCTTCTCAGAACCCATACTGGCTTCCCAGCCAGAGGCCATGCTGCCATGCAGGCCAAGTCACCCCGTGTCTCGGTAAAGGCAGGATTAGGAACCTGAGCCGAGGAGCGCCGCCTTGGCACTGCCTCTGCCATCTCTCTGTGCCCCGCACGGTGTCCCTAAACTGGGAGGAAGTGGCTGCACTTACCTGGGATGTGGATCTTGAACTTGCCACTCTGGCCGAAGGCACTGTCGATGACGCCCAGTTCTCCAGTGGACAGGTGCACCTTGAGCCCCACGAAGAGCTGGATGTTGGTCTCCTTTTTAAACAGGGAGCGGCCGATCACACTGTAGTCATCCATCGCCTGTCCCCACACACCCAGCCACAGACAGAGGGCGTTAGTGGTGCACACTGAAAGAGCTGTGACTGTGTGCCTAGCCCCAGCTCTCCCGGGCCCTGGGCATGGCTGGCTGCTGCCTGCTCTAGGAACCCTGGGGGTAGCAGGGCAATGAGCCCACCTAACAGATAACGAAATGCATGGGAGCAGGGCAGAAACCTGGGACTGGCAATTGCCACTGTAACAACGGGCCCTTCAAAACTGGCACGCTGTGAGCACTTTCCACAGAGAGCACCTCAGTCCCCACAGCAGCTCTGTGGCGGCACTTTACAGATGAGGAAATGGAGGCATGGCACAGTTCTGTCATCTATCCAAGGTCACAGAGCACAGGGGGTAGAAGTAGCTTTGAATTCAAGCCCCTGTTGCAGGCCCCCCCACCCCCAGGGGGCCACAATGACCCAGCCTGTCCCCAGGGCACCTGCCTAGATAGCCAGCAGCACTCTCCTTGAAGCTGTCACAGTCACCCAGGCCACTCCTGAGCCTGCATCCAAGGCCTTCTAGAACTGGCCTCCTCATTCCAGTTTCCTCTCCCACAGGAGCCCTGGAAAGCCTGGCCTTTGTCTCCCACCCGCTGCACACACCCCTATGCACGTTGGCCCAAAGCTTTACTTTTGCTCACTCTAGCTGTGCCTGGAAGCCCGTCTTGGCCTGGCCCACTTTTCCTCCACAGCCCTACCTCCTTTCCTCCATGACGCCCTCCCTCAGTCCAGGCAGAATTGCTTGTTTCCCCTAGCCCCTGTTGGCCATGGCCAGGCCTTTGCAGAGCTCGTATCTCCTGCTGGCCACGTTGGCCACTGCTGTCTCTTTGTGGGTGCCCAGGCTGAGAGGAGGGACACACATGTCTGTGAAAAAGTCAGCTTGGTGTAGCCCTGATTTCACCATGAGCTATGTTCATCCTGAACCTTCTCCCCAGAGGCTCGATCAGCAACTGGTAGTGTCACTCCCTCCCTTCTGAGTCTCTGGCAGCTCCAGCCCAGGTACCGCTTTTGGGATGGCAGTATGGCCAGGTGGCCTTGCCTGCCCCGCCCAGCTCCTCACCCCACCCCTGCTCTGTAGATCCTGCCTCCAGTAGCAAACTTGGGCCCCATGATAAGAAAAGCCCACCAGTCTGACAGCTGCTATGGAAATGAGCAATGCACATACAATCTGCACCATCAATTTCACTTCTAGGAATGCAACCCACTGATGTGCTTGCTGGAGAAGATGTCAGGATAGGAGATCCACCCAAGGTCACTCACTGCAGCAGTGTTTACAGCAGCAAAAGTTGACAATGACTTAGAAGTCCAACCTGAGTTCAACAAGTGGAGCACAGCCGCCAGAGGTGACGATGTGACCACAGAGAAGAGCAGAAGAGCAGAGGAACATAACAGAATTCTCCCTCCACCCCACAGCCCATAGCCTTTGCACTTCTCAGCGACACATCCTATGAGTGCCTCATCTCTGTGCAGCCCCTGGTGCCCAGCAGCACCCGGCCCAGAGCAGGCTCAAATCAAGGCCTGGTGCCTACAGCGTCCCCTGTGGCCCACGGCTCCCTCTTCCTATACTCCAGACCCCACTCCTCTCCAATCTTCATCCTGCCCTCTCTTCAGAGCACAGATCGCCACCTGACGTTATGCCATTGATCTTATCTGTTTACTTGTTTATTGCTTCCAACCAGAGCACAAGCTCCAGGCAGAAATATGTCCCTCTCCTCCACAGCTACCTTCCCTGCACATGAAACAGGCGCTTACTATCTATTCCTTGAATGTGTGAGTAAATGTTGAAAGAATACATGGCTGTAGTTGTTGGTACATTGGCAAGGCTCACTCATGCCTGTAGGCTTTTTTTTTTTTTTAACAGCTTCATTCAGCTATAACTGATATACAATAACATGAACATATTAAAAGTAAATAATTGGATAAGTCTAAATTTGTGTATACATATACATGCCTGTGAAACCATCATCACGATCAAGCTAATGGACATATTTATCATTCCCTGGTCCTCATATCCCTCTGTTATGCCTCCCTCCCTGCCTGTGTGGCGCTCCTGTAATGCTAGTCCCAGCTTGTCCACTGGGGACTCTACTCCCACCTAAGGCCCACCTTGGGCATTTCCTCCTTCAGACAGCTTCCCCGACATTGCAGGCACCGCCTCTCCCCTTGGCCCCCAGGACTGAGGCCAAGACCCCTCTGTTCTGAGAGCCTGGCAACTATGTCTTATCCCTGACAGCTGACCTGTCTGTCTCCCTCCTCAGACTGAGAGTTCTGCGAGGAAAGGGTTCCATGTACCTCACGTGGCCCCGACCCACCACAGGCTTGGTGAATGGGCGCTCACTGAGTGTGAGGAGGCCAACTGCCCTAGTCACATGCATGACATCAAGAAGAAGACGCCGGGGGGTAGAAATACATTACTCAAGTGGCTATCCCAAGGATATGTCCTTGGGAGACACGATTCATCTGAGAGTGAGCCAATAGCCCAGCCTGGGCTAGTTTCCTCCTGTCTATCTGGGAGAACACAGTGACAGATCACTGTGCTGGCACAGTGACAGTCCCCAGTGCTGGTTCCCTCATGCTAAACACAGCAGGCCCACTGCTCAGCCTCCCAGTGGGCCTAGAGGCCTGGCTCCAGGGTAATCAGAGCCTGGGATGGCAGGCATGCTACCTATTAGCCTTCCAGAAGACATTTACTACATCTTCTCCCCTGCCCCCTCCTTTCTTTTGGTTATAAAATATTAACTTTAAAAAGCTAAATGCCACAAAGACAGCAGAGGATCCATCTTTCCCCAAGCCAGGGTCTTGCAATGAGGGCAGACTAATTTTATTAACTTCAGGGGAACTTCAAAAAGCTCCAGGGCTTTCATGCCAGACAGAGACGACCCCAAAGTTAGTTTAAGTGCTACATAAACAAAAGACTAGGGCCAGGGGAAGCTGAGGGCTCCCAGCGTTCCTTGTTTATGTTCTCATCTGACCTAGTGGGCCAGTGCACAGGCTGGTTGGCCCCCGGAATCCTGCTGGTGTGTGGTGCAGCTCGGTTCACTGACCTACATTCCCACAATATTGTTTTAAGCATCCGGGATAAGGTAAGGAGTGAGTGGGCTTTTTCTGACCTTCTGAGGAGGGTCTCTGGGGCTGGAGTGGCAGTTTAGAAAGGATTTCAAGTTCAAAGGGAGTGTCTCTGTCGCTCCTGCTCTCTTGTTTTATGGCTTGGCTAGAAGACACAATAGTGCTGAGTGGGTGAAGCATACTCTCCTGCAAACTTCTGTGTCTGCAATTCCATTTGTTGGGGGAGGCACTGTGAGGGCAGGAGCTGGACGTCTGCAGAGTCAGGAACCCCGTGTGGTCTCGAGAGTGCTGGCAAGACTGCCTGCTAGTGGCCCCACACTGTCATTTCACAGCAGCTGGGTGGATCTTTGCATTTGTGTCGGTCCCACAGAGGACACTGGCACTCTGGGCATGGCCGCCCCAGGGGAGGGGAGGCTGGGGAAGCAGAGAAAAGTCAGCCATGTCATGGGTGAGGTGCCCCCATATCATTATTTAATCTTTAGGAAAGCCCTGACAGGAACAGGAGGCTCAGTAAAGTGAAATGATTTGCTCAAAGTCATGCAGGTAGTGAGTGTGGCAATGCCCCATTCCACCTCAGACTATCTAGATCCAGAGGCTAGTGCTTTTCCTGCCGCAGGAAGGGCTAGGCTCTGTCTGCCGGGAGATGCCACAGCAGCAAATGGGCCCAGACGACTTTCTCCATCCTTTGGCTCACCAGAGCCATGCCATGACTGGCTGGACACAAATGGGCCTAGAAATCTGGCCCAGGGACACTGGGCAGCCCCATCCCTGCCAGTCCCAGCTGTGGGAAACCCCAAGTCACTGCAGAAGACAATCCCCAAGTTCAGGGACCCCAGCCCCTCCCAGGTTATTTGGAAGGGAGGAGGAGAGGAGGGAAAGAGGGCAGATCCTGGCCCTCAATATGCAGCACTTATAGTAGGGCCCAAACACGTCACTGTCACAAGAAGATGTTCCAGCCCAGTCAGCCCCTGCCGCACTGAGAAGGACTACACTGCTGTTGGAGGAAGGCTAAACTTTCCCCACCTATGGTTATAGGGGCCAAGAGGCAAACTGCCCTTCCCATGAAATCCAAATAGTCAATTTCCAGTAAAGCAAGTCCTTACTTCATGTCATCGAAAGTTCTTAGAAACTGTTACTTTAAACAAAATAATGCACAGCAGGCCCTTAAATAATGTTGCTTTATTCCAAGTTATTTGAATATATATCAAAGTTATTTTGTTATAACATTAATGAAAAAAATAAACTGGTTTTGTTATACATCCTTTCCCTTAAACTCATGGTTTCCAAGAAGCTAGTGACAATGTTAAGTGAGGATTTACCGTACAGGTCTCCATAACTGGAAAAAAAATGGGCACACTGGAGACAACAGAAGAAGAGAAAAGGCACGGCACTGCTAGCACCACAGGTTAGAACCTGGACTCTGGAGCCAGACCACCTGCATTCAAATCCCAAGTCTGGGTGCCTAGGGACTCTGGCCAGAGGCCTAACCTCTGTGGGTGCGGGCATCTTCATCTATAATATGGGGAAACAGAGTTGCTGGAGGTTTAAATGGGTGCAGGGGAGTACTTGTAAACAGTTGTTTTTGGTCTGGCCTCTGCCTGCCCCATCCCTGGGCAGAGCACTCTCCCTCCCTTAGGACTCCCTCAGACACACCACACAGAACTACAGGGGCAGCAGATGTAGGGCCTAGACTCAACGGCCGCCACCTGCAGATCTGAGAAGACATCGCAGACTAATGGAAGGCCCCCTCCAAGAGACTGCTGGCCTCAGAATCGGACAGAGGGTTGCACTGGGAATTGGCTACAGAGAAGCCTGTGTGCCTGTCTCTCAGCACAGCAGTGGCTTATCTATACCAGCCTCACCAGCTGGATGCGGGGAGGGGAGGAAGGCAGTCCTGGAAGGCAGAAGCTGGGCTGACCACAT